CTGTTGTGTCACTAGTGAGAAAAGCCACTAGTATTAAGCCAAGCACTCTAAGGCAGGAGTTGGGAACCTGAGGCCCAGGGCTGGATGTGGCCTCTGGCTTCCCTAGATCTGGCCCCTGAAGTTCTGGGCTCCACCCCAGCATTGGAGAACTCAGGCTGGTACTCCAGACCCACCACCACCCCACTGCAGGGCTGGAGCACCCAAAATCTACTAGCCTGAGGACTCTGGAGTGCGAGGGTAATGCGGGAAGTGTTTCTTTCCTTTTCTGTCAGGGGCCACCTCAGTGAGAGGTGGTTTGGGGGGCGGGGGAGTAGGGAGGAAAATGGAGAAGGATTGGAGAGGATTTTTGCTTCTCACTTGTGTGTGGGCCCCCCCAACTGATTTTTCTATGTGTTCCCCACCCCTGTTCTAAGCGTATGCCTTCACAAAGAGCTGAATTGACAGCAATTGATTCAGTAGGCATCAATTTATCGCATCTACTACAGACTTGATAAATTGACTACTGAGCACTCTCCTGTCCACTCTGGTATTCCACCAAAACGTGAGGAATAAGCAGAGTCGAGGGGAAAGCATCAGCTGTCAACTTACCACGGTGAAAATAACATGGTAAGCAAACCTAAGTAGGCCGATTTCAGCTATATTATTCACATAGCTGAAGTAGCATAACTTTGGTTGACAGCCCACAGTAGTATAGAGCGTCTCAAGAGCTTTCACAGTACTGTGTTTTAGGGTATATAACCCACACTCGTGCATAACCCGCAATTTTTCTTTGGTGTGTAAAAAAAACCCCAAAAAACAAATTACCCACGGACATGTATAGCGCACGGGTTCTATAGGCTAATTCACGGTAATTGCACATACCAGGAGGTAACGGAGAGTGCAGCGTAGACAAGCGGGCCGGCCTGTGGGAGGGGAGCCACACTCGCGTCCAGGCCCCACGCAGCCGCAGCCAGGCGCAACCCACTCTCTTCCGGGCGGGGAAACGGAGAGCACAGAGCAAGCGCGCTGGAAGCTCATCAGGCCCTCCCTGCAGCGGAGTGGAACTGACCTAATTCTAATGGGTAAAAATAAAACTTGTATACCCCACCCAAAGGGGGGGGGAGGAAGGTGCTGTTTAGTAAAAATGTATATAACCTGTGGATTATACACACTAATTTACGGTAATAACAAAGCACAAAAACCAGACCCAAGACTAAGCCTTATCTAAATGACAAAAATAATGTAACCTAAATTAGGCTGTGTCTGCATAGGAGATCCTACCGAGGCACAGCTGCACTGCTGTAACTTATCCTGTGTAGCTGCTCTATATTTTCCACACCCCTGAATGACATACGTTTTACCGACAAAAGTGCTCACGCCGACATAGCTCAAGGTCAATGTACAGCCACCACAGTTCACGTCCATGAAATGCCTTCGTCGTTCGGTGTTTGGCTTCATCAGGAGCAGCTCTACAGACTTGTGTATGGCATTGTGGGGCAATGATAGCTGGCGATCTCTGCAACCTCAGGGGCCACAGCCTAAGCCATCAGCCCTGCTACCAGGTGGCTCCAGCTATAAGCTCTAGGCGGGGTTCGAGCTGCCAGCCAAGAGACAATTGAAGTACAACACAGTGTTTACACAGACACCGGCTGTACCACCCTACATCAACCAAAGCACTACGCCTCTCATGGAAGTGCAGTTATTAGGTCAGTGAAGTGGGCGACTTAAAATGGTGGGAAAAGCACTGTAGTATAGACACCGACATAGTAAGCTCAACACAGGGGTGTCTGCAGGAATTTAAATGTCACTGCTTTTGGAGGGGCATGTCTAGGGGTGTGAGGGACTAGTTGACTATTCGATAGGCAAATGCTTATCGGACAGCTGACAGTATAGTCGACTAGTCGCTTTCCTCCCTCCCTCCCCCCACTGCTACCTCTATCAGATAGAGGCAGCAGGGGGGACAGGGGAATAGAAGAGGGTACTTCAAAGCAGCAGCACCACATGGAGCCCAGGGTCAACTGCTCCATGCAGCTCTGTCACTTTGAAATACCATGAAGAACCTGGAATAGGGCTCCTCATGCATTTCAAAGCAGCAGCGTCACTTGGAGCCTGGAATCGGGCTCCACTCGGCATTTTAAAGCAGCAGCAGCAGCTGACTCGGGGCTTTGGTGCTTTCGCCTTTGAAGTACAGCAGCAGCCTTAGGGCTGCTGCTATACTTCAAAGGCAGAGGCGCCCTATCAACTAATCGAGTAGTCAATGCAAAAATGTATTGACTATTTGATTAGTCAATTACCTGATACTTAATACACTTAGGCATGTGCTGTGCCCCTGCCATAGCCTCAGAACCAGGGAAATTCTATGTCTGACAATTATTGGGGCTTGTGCCCCTTCTTGCCCCCTAGCTTGTGTACACCCTGGAGTTAACACAGACTGTCTTATGTTGACCTAGCACTGTAGTGTAGACCAAGTCTAAGTTGCAAGACAATAGGTCAGTAGCTGTAAAGCAACTCCACTTCATTTATAACATGGACTTACAAGAGTTTGCGGGGCAAACTGACAGATGCGGCAAAAGGGCAACTTCTGTTCTCATCAATTATTCTGCCATTCTAACAGTTACTACAAGGACTGTTTGAGGCCTCTTTTTTTAATAGGTGAAGCTCAAACCCATTACATGGCTCATCTTCAGCCAAAAAGCTACAGAACATTAAAATGTTTGTAGGACTCAGTGCAGTTAAGAGATAAGGAAAAAGGAAATCATTGTAAAGCTATAACTATCCTATCTTATTGAACAGCCCACAATGGCAGGAGGAGTGAGAAATGTGTTTATCAGTTTTGGTTGGGCTCATGTAAGTTTAGCCTCTCAATTCATCAGCCTAATGAATTTCTATATTCCGTTTACAAAATGTGTTCTGCGGATGCCCCAGACATCAGCAAGGGTTCTCCAGCATTCTCTCCTGGCCATTTAACAGCAATGAGTGGGAATAGGAGCTGGATCAGAAAGGCTGAGTTCTGACTCACTTGTCATTCCAGAATTCTGTGTTAAATGCCAACTTCTCCTTTTACAGAAATCCCTTTTTGCTTTTTAGAATAATCTTTCGATGTCCTGGGGAGAATAAAACTGTAGATGGTTGCTAAAATAGAGTCAGAATGTCCTATTCACTGAGATTCCAGGCCAGCTAATAGCCAGAATGTTGTAAATTACCAAGGAGTGCAGGTTGTAACTCATTTGTTACTCACTTCACTTTCTCTTCCTATAATCTCAAGTCCAGAAAAAAAGAAAACAGTAAAGACAAAGCCATCTTAATGCTAAAGTTCTCTTTATTTCTTAGAAACGACACAGCTTTTCCATCATGTACACAAATACCATTTACTACCAATACCACAGCTTCACTTTTAATACCAACATAAAAAAGGACAAACCCCGAACCCAGATAGCATCGCTTCATTTCACTATACCAAGATCATTTTATGGAAAGACTGAAGAGAAAATACAAAGCAAGTTTATGACCAGGGACTCTGGAAGAAACTTTCAATTTTGAACATAATTTACAGCCTTACAATTGGAGATCTATGCACACTTTTTTGATATACATATTCAAAATAAGGTTTTTCTACAAATGTACAGTATGTAACTAGCTAACCTTTAACAACTGAAGAATCATATCCTTAGCCAGTGACTTTGAGGTAAGACAAAAGAGCATTATGTTTTGTAAGTATCATTATGATTATGAATAATGCAATCCTTGTAGCTGAAGCAGATACATAGCTGGTCCCCTCCATATCCCCCACTCCATCTACGTTTTGATCAATTGTTAACATGATGTTCCAAAAAGCCCATCTAAACTGATAATGAAAGTGGTGTTATCCTAGCTGAACTAGCCACTTTTAATAACAATTCAGAGGAAACTTGCTGCTGACTACCACCATCAGAAATGGATCGCAGTTGTTTTGAACAGATACAGGTAGAGACACAAGGGACTGGCTTAGAACTTAAATTTTAGATCAATTTACTGACATCAATCAAAGACGTGAGAAAAATCCATACTCTGTGACTGACATAGCCTAACCTCCAGCATAGATGCAGCTAGACAGACAGAAAATTGCTTCCGTTGACCCAGCTACCATCATTTCAGCAGATGATTCTCCCACAATGACAGAACCACCCCTTTCATTGCTATAGGAGAGCCTTATGGGGTTATGCCAGCATAGCTATGGTGCTGATATGCCAGTATTGTCCCCATAGTCTAGGCATTTCTATAGGCTTCAGCGTTCACACCCAATGAATAGAAATTGAGGCAGTTCACACCTCTTGGGGCAAATGGTGTGCCCTCTTCATTACACTAACTCATCTGAAGATGGGCATCATACAGGGAAGCTGACTGGCCAGAGGATGTAGACTCTCAGCAGGTCATGAAGCCCTGTAGTATTCCTGTGCACTGATACGCAGCTGTCCCACTACTTCATGAATCCATTGAATATTCACCCCAGGTATACAGCTAACAAAGCCTGAGCGGGGAATACTACCCAAAGAGCAGAAGTGGGCATACACATGTGGATTCTATCAACCCCCAGTTCTGAAGGAATTCCATGATGCACAACCCAGGTACTCAGGATGGAATTTGAGCTTCAGACAGTTCATGACTCTTCCTGCACCGGCAACCTGCAACAGAAGTGCTACAGTTTTTGGCATCTTGCTTATTCTGCATGGGATCCAATAACAGCAAAGTACTAGAAATATAGACACTACAAAACGAACACCAACGAAAACAGATCTGTAATTCACCAGTTCAACTGTGAATTCAACTGTTAAGAACAGTGGAAACCATACAAAAGACAGAGCTCAAGCAAGCTTAAGCATTTTTTTATCATTTCTAAAGCTCAAATCATCAGCCAGCTGCTTGAGCCAGGAAATTCACATTTTTGGAAGTTTAGACACAACTGTACAGCGTACAGAAGATCCATATGCAGCCATAGATTAAGAACAGCTGATTAACTCAACAACTGCTGAGTTGGCACTTACTGATCATGCCTGGTATCAGGTATGTTTCTGTCCATTCGCAGTTTGTCACTTTCTACTTGATTGAATTTATTACGAGCATATGGGTCCTGACCAGAGCGGACCATAGTAACACCAACATAGTTATCTTGATCAAAATCTTGCCATCGAACTTTTCCTGAAAAGGAAGAAACCCAGAGTTAAATATTCACATCACAGATCTGAAGCAATAAGCTCTAGTTTTCAAATGTCTGAAAAAGTTTTCACTTTTACCAGATCAAAGTACTTTAAAAATAAATGAAGCCTTAACATTCCCTTGAGGCAGGCAATACACCTCTTTTACATCTGGCTTACACTGATGTACAAAGTGACTTGCTCTGAGCCACACAATTTACTAGTGTAGAGTTTCAGTAGGAATTGAATTCATAATGTCCCCACTACACCACACTGCTTTCCTCGGTTATAAGTATTAACCTCAGGAACCATATGTTCCACTTTTAAGGATATTCCACATCAGGCAGCTGATGAGTCAAACACAGATTTACACCCCAAGAAAGATGCATTTAATTGTTCCAGTTTAGATTTCAATTAACTTCACTAAACCAAACCACTGGGGTTTAATTTGGCACAATTATCTTAGAAATCATTACTTTTAATCTCTATGCTCCAAAAGATGTGTTCCTCAGAAACGTGGTTACAAGTAAATTTTAAAAATTGTTTTGTAAAATATCCAAATGCTACTCATAATGAGGACACTTGACCATTTTCCAATATGAAATACATGACCTAGTTGGAACACCGTAACTTTTATGTCCTGTCATCAGCAGTTTAACTCTACTGGAGAGCACATAGCTATGTGATCCCTGGTAATACAGTGGTTGCCATGCTTTTGGGGACATATGCTCTCTCTCAAGCCTGCTTGTTTTAACATTACAGTACAGAATTAAGGTAAAAACAGTGATATGCTTCACTGACAATTTTTCAAAAGAAACACGGGGAACTATCATTTCAGAGTTATTTTTGAGCAAGTTCGGTAAGCGACAGATTGGCAGAGAGTGTCACTCCCTTGGCGCGCCCCAGAGACGCTAACAAAAGTTCTTAGGCAAGTATACCTTAGGATGCTTTAAAGATAACCTACTGCTCTGCATCAAGGGTATACTATTATAGCAGACATTCACAGGAACAATAACTCTGGACGGCCAGAGATTGGTCAGACATTCAGATAGACCTTTACTGTTGTCAATCTGCATAGTATGCAAAGTCCTAGAAAAGAAAGCAGTGTGCAGGTGCTGGACTCAGACCCATGGAGATAAAAACAATGACATGCAAGGGAGCTGCAAGTCAAAACCCCTGAGTTAGGAGGGAGAGAAACATGTGTCCCCTACCCAGCGGATGTTGATGGCAAGAGGCCTGAGACAGCTTTCCTTGAGCAGAATACAGAGATGCCAAGCATTAGTTTACCCCAAAACTATAATACTCCTGATTCATACTGGATTACAGTAACTTCTGTTATTCAGTGCATGTTTGTTTTCCATTTTATTAAGTGCAATGCATTCACTTTTCTGATTTCAAAAATAAAGACTTTAATGTAATACTGACATTTATTTTTTCAAAATACTACTGTATACATTAAAAATGTTAATTTCTATGACACTTTCAAAGTTGTTACAGCACCTCTCCAATTCTGAAATGGTATTCCCACCAACCCCTGCTTCCTAGATTTGTGCTGACAACTGTGGAACGTGTGCCCACAGTGAAATGGTATGGCAGCAGTTGGAAGAAGCAATTCACATGTTCTCATTAGATAGGTTTACATCAGCTAGAACAGCTCCTGTGGCACTGCATGGTTATAAATTACAACAGCTCAAGTGAACTATTGTAAATTGTAACTGCACAGAAGGAAATTGAAGTGGTGCTCAGCAAAAACAAGGATATTGCCTTTGAAGCGGCAAAGAAGATAGTGTTTGACAGTTTACTAATACAGTTCTAAGAAAAATGGCTCTTAACTGGCCTTTTCCAGCAACTGAACGTGTATTTGTACATTACCTGCTTTGTGCCCCAGTATACAAGCTGCAGATCTCTTTTTCAGAACTATGAGTGAGCATTTATTGGTGGGTTGGAGAGCTGGCTCTGTTTCCAACTGTCCAAGCGCATTAAAAGACAGATACAAATGCAGTAAATACTTAGCTTATATTTTACCTTTGTGATACTGATAAAAAAAAATTCCTACACTTTGTATTGTTTCAGAGAATCTCTCATATACTAGCCAATTCTATCTCTTCTCCCCCCCCCCCCCCCCTCCCACCATGGTGCTCGGCTGACTTCTGTGCCGCTCAGCCAGGCCGCTGCAGGGGTGGAAACAGCGCAAGAAGCCGTGTGGGTCCTGCACTCCCCATGCAGCAGGGTAGCCCAGAGGGAACAGCCAGCATTTCAGGCAACAGCGCCACCCAGAGGGAACAGCCAGCATTTCAGTGTTACAGAGTCACAGACATTGGGCTACTATACATTTGATGCGACAGTGTAGGTTTGGGTTAGCTTGTAAGACACTTGCTTTTAAAATAATAAAAATGTCCCCCAAAATGGTGGTTCTGATTCATGTAAGACCAAATTAAGTTTCAGAACTGGCAGTCTTATGTAACAGGTCTGAAAATAATAGAATCATATTCCTAATTACTGATAATGTCACATTGAAGCTTAAGACTTAGGGCTAAAACCTGAGTGCCAGCATAAAAAAAAGCCTGCAGTAATAAGACAGTTGGGAGACTGGGGGGGGGGGGGGGGGAATCCTTGTGTTCTTGGCTCATTGAGTAGTCTCCTTGTGGCATCTGGAATCACCATGGATGCATAATGTAAAATCCCAAGGCTGGCTATGTGGATGCCCAACATTTGAAGGCTGATCACCTGGATCTAATATTGCCATAGCTGACTCTAAAGCTCCTGTTCTAGGTTTGACCAGGGACAGAAAGGGAAGCTGAACATGTCCTGCTTTGGCCATTCCTGACCTACAGAATTAACTTGGAAGAAAAAGAATGAGAAGGAAATGGGCCACAGAATAAGTTAAACTGGTACAGAAGAGATGACAGAGCAAATGAATTTGCATGCGGACAAAGGGAACAGGTTAAACTCCAGTGGTAGGTGTAGTTCTGTGAGATGGACATCAAGAAGTCTACTTGAGTGGAACTCAGGTATCAGCTGGAGCAATAGCTGGGCTATGTAAAAAAGAGTCTGGAAAAAATAGCAGGTGAACTACTCAAGAGATCCCCAACCCAAGCAGCAGCCAGAGGTGATACGGGGGGATCAGGAGCTCGCTTTTTGGACTAGTTTTTAATCACAAAACATAAGTCAGGACCAGTTGGATATACTGTACAATTCTCTTGACTTTTGTGGGTATCAGTAACTGCTAGATTGTGTCTTACCAAAGAAACAAAAGGGGGAAGAGAACTGGAATGTCATGTCAACGGTGCAGTAACATTTAATTCCTCTCCAAGAAGGACCATTGAAAAATATTTGTGATGTTACTCTAATCTAAAATGGGGTAACCTATACTATGAAGAAAGCCAGAAAAAAATGAAAGCAAGTAATTAAAATAGGTTCCTTGATTAATTTTAGCCTCTGAGACTTAGTATTATTTCATAAGTCCTTTATAAAAATTGTAACATCAGGTTCAACAGTGTCATTAATTGCTCCTTTACTCAGCAGGGGAACTGCAACACTTAATTAAAAGTATAATTACAATTTTTTAATTTAATAAAATTGAAGATTGATCCAGATACATATGAGTGGGGAATATAAAATTCTAAAAGCTGAAAATAAATCATTTTCTTTAGTTAGCTGTCAAGACAAGCAGTCAGAGTTTTGCTTTACCCCTGCTGAAGCAGACACCACCACTTCAGAGTATGGGAAATTAGCTCTCTGCAGTGCTGTATCACGTTTCAGGATCTACACAGCACTGAGAATAGAATTTTTGATAGTAAAACGTCAATTTACTTTTAAAAAGTCAGTAACTTTGTATAAAGACTGACTCAAGTTCTACCTTTTAAAACATTAGTGCACTCAGCTTTCATAAACAATTCCTTGCTTTCCTTGGAGGTCTGAAAACATGTCGCAAAAGGCTGAAACAAGCAGTAGCTTTCCTAAACATCGAATGAGAAAGCAGGAAGGGAATATGAGCCAAGAGAAGGAAAAAGCCAGTCACCTAAAACCTAACCACTTGGATTTAAAATGTTGCACAAAATTTGCAGGAAAAAACTTAACACACAACGAATAGTTTTTAAGGTTCTACAAGTCTAACAAAACATGTAATGTTATCATGAGCTTTTGTGGACGCTCGTGATACCATCTACATGTTTTGTTAGTCTTTAATGTGCTACTAGTCTGTTTGTTGTTTTTTAAATATTTCTTGTTAGACTAACTCGCCTACCCCTCTGAAAAATTTAGAGGTCTGGATTAGAGATCCCTTGATTGTGTATTCCCCTATTAAAAGTGCTCATACCAGCACAATATTTTAAGAGTATAATCCTGTAACAATATATTATTTGAACATTGTAATCAGAGTATGGTGTATTCTGCAAGAGCATGTTAAGTCTTATTCCTCGTTCTTACTCTAACAGGTAGAAAAGACTGGCAGCTGGTCTCATTCCTGGCTTCATATGCTCCAGGCTCCTCACTTCTCCACCTGTATCTTTAGAAGAAACCTCTAAATCCTCCTTTTCCATGTCTTTCCCATACCACTCCCAACAACTGTGACTGCTCCCTATGACCAATGAAAAGGTCTCCCCTATTTAAAAAGAAAGCCTAAGGCATTTGATGTACGCCTAGAACCCGCCTAAACCAATGGTGCCCAAACTTTCTCTTGTGCCCCACCGTCCCAGTAATGGGATCATAGTTCCCCCTAAAGTGTGCGGCTGCATGGGCATACACCAAGAATTTGAGGCCTACTCACCTGCTCAGCAGGGACCATGCACTGGCTGCTCAGCTGCTCCAGAGCAGGGCTAAGAGACAGGTGGCAGCCCCACCCCAGAAGCAGCTGGGCAACCACTTTGTGGGCCTGGCCCTAACTTCAACCCTTTGCCAGTGCTGTAGCTGTGGTCAGGGTGGGCTGCATGGCAGGGCTCAATTCTGCTGGTGCAGCTTGAGTCCCTGCGCAGGGGCTGAGCTGAGACTGTTGGGCTGGAGCAGGGGCTCTGCAGCTGGGGCTCGAACCAGCCTCCTGCAGAGGCAACCCAGGTCAGGGCAGTTCCTACCACTCCTGTCAGACATGTGCTCAGAGAACACCATGGGGGACATGACCAGAGCAGCCTCAACGGTAGCAGCTGGGGGGAGCCCAAGGCGCATAGTGCACCTGCCCCTGCTAGGGAAATATTGAGCCCTGGCTCCCCTCATGGGACAGACAGAGCTCACCATAGGCTCCACAGGTATCTGCTGGACTGCTCTGCAGCACAGTGCCCAAAGAGGAGCTCACCTGGGCTCTCCAGCCCCCCAAAAGTGGCCAGCACTGGTTCTACAACCAGGGCAACCTCCCCACAGGATGTGGCTGCAGCATGGAACAGCGAGAGGATACAGTGTGAGAGTAGCTGCTTCAAGCAAGGTGGCAAAAAAGCCACAGTGGAAGGTGGGATGTGTGAAGAGCAGCTGGCTCCGCCGGCCAGCCCTGAAGCGAGCAGGTGACGATGGGAACTTTTTGTAGAGGAGGGAAGGCAGGGAGAGCATCCTACGGTTATCCAGCCAATTATGCACCCACCTTATTGTGGCCCTATCTAAGTTATATTTGCCTAGTTTATCAATAAGAATATCATGCGAGACCGTATCAAATGCCTTACTAAAGTCTAGGTATATGACATCCACCACTTCTCCCTTATCCACAAGGCTCGTTATCTTATCAAAGAAAGCTATCAGATTAGTTTGGCATGACTTGTTCTTCACAAACCCATGCTGGCTATTCCCTATCACTTTATTACCTTCCAAGTGTTTGCATAGGATTTCCTTAATTACCTGCTCCATTATCTTCCCTGGGACAGACGTTAAACTGACCGGTCTGTAGTTTCCTGGGTTGTTCTTATTCCCCTTTTTATAGATGGGCACAATATTTGCCCTTTTCCAGTCTTCTGGAATCTCCCCTGTCTGCCATGATTTTTCAAAAATCATAGCTAAAGGCTCAGATACCTCCTCTATCAGCTCCTTGAGTATCCTGGGATGCATTTCATCAGGACCTGGTGACTTGCTGACATCTAACTTTCCTAAGTGACTTTTAACTTGTTCTTTGTGAATCCTATCTTCTAAACCTACCCTCTCTCTGCTTGTATTCACTACGTTAGGCACACCTCCAGACTTCTCGGTGAAGACCGAAACAAAGAAGTCATTGAGCATCTCCGCCATTTCCAAGTTTCCTGTTACTGCTTCTCCCTCCTCACTAAGCAGTGGGCCTACCCTGTCCTTGGTCTTCCTCTTGCTTTTAATGTATTTATAAAAGGTCTTCTTGTTTCCCTTTATGCCTGTAGCTAGTTTGATCTCATTTTGTGCCTTTGCCTTTCTAATCTTGCCCCTGCATTCCCGTGTTGCTTGCCTATATTCATCCTTTGTTAGTTGTCCTAGTTTCCATTTTTTATATGACTCCTTTTTTATTTTGAGATCATGCAAGATCTCCTTGTTAAGCCAAGCTGGTCTTTTGCCATATTTTCTATCTTTCCTACACAGCGGAATTGTTTGCTTTTGGGCCCTTAACAACGTCCCTTTGAAATACTTCCAACTCTCCTCAGTTGTTTTTCCCTTCAGTCTTGCTTCCCATGGGACCTTACCTACAAGTTCTCTGAGCTTATCAAAATCTGCCTTCCTGAAATCCATAACCTCAATTGTGCTGGTCTCCCTTCTACCTTTCCTTAAGATCATGAACTCTATTATTTCATGATCACTGTCCCCTATACTGTCTTCCACTTTCAAGTTCTCAACTAGTTCCTCCCTATTTGTTAAAACCAAATCCAGAACAGCTTCTCCTCTGGTAGCTTTTTCAACCTTCTGAAACAGAAAGTTGTCTCCAATGCAGTCCAGAAACTTATTGGATAGCCTGTGCCTCGCTGTGTTAGTTTCCCAACATATGTCTGGATAGTTGAAGTCCCCCATCACCACCAAATCTTGGGCTTTGGATAGTTTTGTTAATTGTTTAAAAAAGGCCTCATCCACCTCTTCCACCTGAAGAACTGTAGGTACTTTAAAAAAAAAGGTTGAGAAACATTGTTCTAAATCACTTTATTACTGATGATTTGTAAATGATTCTCTGAAGCTCTGTAATTGTTTCAGCAGCATTGCCTTTTAAACTCCGCAATCTGTATAAACTTGCAACTTTGCTTTATAAGTTCAGAAACCTATTGTAAGCTTGGTGATTGTTGAGCCTTGCAACTTGGTAATCTTTGTAACTCTCGGCCACTTTGCTTGTATCTTGCTCTAAACTGCATTCTCCCTGAGATATGAATTTGTGTGCCTGTGGGATTAGAAACTACAAGGCTGAGCATGTGGAGCCAGGTGATGAGTTAGACCAATTAAAGAGACTGCTGCTCTACTGGATCAAGGGAAGTCTGGGCATGCTTCCTGATGATGAAGGTGGATGAGTCACAGCAGTTGTAGAGAAGCAATAAAAGGAGAGAGCACGTGGCAGAAGCCCCTCTCTTTCGGAGAAGCTCCCTTTCTTTTCCTGAACAGCTCCCCGGCCATGATCAGCAGACAGACCCTCCAGATGCTGGCTCCTCTTTAGTTTAAACCTTTAGTGGCCGCTCTATCCTCTGCATATTAATTCCTTAATAAAGCCATACTAGTGTAACCCTGGGTGGTCTTCACTGGGAATTTTTGGGTAACAGCTTGGTGGTGTTCTGGCTTTGCATATTATAATGAAACAGAGGGGGAGATTTTCTAACCTCCTGCAATGTCCAAACAAAACACACACTTATGACAATTCTGTTACTTCTCTTTGCTTTTTCCTTTCATCATTTCTGAAGAAGCCTAGTGCCTCTCTAACCATGAGTCCAGGGAAGCAATGCAGTGAATGCCCAAGTGAAATAGCTAAGGTTGTTGAATATGCAAAGTAGGATGGCTTGTCTTAACTGGATCATACATAAGAATTGGGGCTGCACTCACTATACAGTGTACTTGCTAGTGCTATTGTAGTAATACAAAAAAAAAAAAAAAAAAAAACTCCTCCCCCAAGAGTTGATGCCATCTAATCTTTCCTGCTGGATTTAGATCTGTTATTCACAATTTAGGGCAATTCCTAGCATGGTGGGTGGCGAACAACTGGGGCCGGGCTGGACTCATATGCCACGTGGCTTCCCTGTCACAGGGCCGGCCTTAGGGCTGAGCAAACTGGGCCCACGCCCAGCGTGCCATAGCCAGAGGATGAGGGGTAACCGGGCATGGGTGTTGCTGAGCAAAGGGGGTTGAGGGTCCTGGGCAGGATGCAGTATGGCAGGAGATGCTGGAAGTGCAGGGTGGGGCACACACACAATTTTGTTACTAACAACCACAGTGGCACAAATCTGAACAAGCGCACGTGACATCAATATTGGTGCACAAGACAAAACTCACTCAGCTCATGGATTGAAAATCTTAGAGGGAACACTGAATGAGATGTATCAATACTCCCCACCACTAGAGGCAGAAAGCAGGGGAGCAAGGCTGGGGTCAGGAGAGGATTGCTCTCATTCCCTGCCCCCTCTGCACTACTCTGGGGGGTATGCCCCACACCACCACTCTAAACCAGGGCTATGTAGTCAAGTCCCTACAAATGAAGAGATGCAGCTAAAAACACACAAGAAAAGCTACAACTACAGCAAAAATTAGAGATAGAAATATTTGCATAGAGGCTGTTAAGGAAAAAAAAAACTGCACAGAAAAGTGACTGCTAGAAACCAAAAACAGAATTACCAACATGTTTACTCACATGGATAAACTGGAAAATGGTTAGAATCAAATTTCTAATAAAAAGCAAATGTCTGTAACACTTCTATTTCCCACTCTCCAAAAAATGTCAGAAACTGGGCCAAACACTAGAGGGGGGAAAACCATTAATTTAAATAGCTTATGCTGCGTCAGATTTTATGATTACAGAACAAAACATGCTTAAAATTATAGCAAATCCTGCTTAAACTAAAGAGGAAAAGTCTCCTTGTTTGTTAATTTTCTTCAAGATCATCTATTCTATTCCAGATGCGTAGGTTATAATTTCTCCTGGCCAAGCATCTGGATTTGTATAGAAGATGAATGAGAAAAACATGCTATAAAACCATTTGGTAGAACATCATTTCCTTTGCAAGACACACTTGTCCTTCAAATAGAGAGTTAGGTATCAGAAACAAATTTTAATAAGTGATTAGGGTGGGGTTTTTTTGTTTTTTGTTTTTTTTTGTTTTACACTCCTTGGTGCTTTTATTCTAGCTATGCATATTTATCATTGCTGCAAAACAACAGTTTTGTAGCAACAGGAGTCTTAACAAGAATACATATTTATCAAAGTCACTTGGAGCTTTCCTAGCCTGTATCTCAGGAAATGTCCCTGTACCTCTGTGACAAAGACGCAAGACTCCTTGCCTTTTTCATCCATGATATGCTAGAGAAGGTCAGATATGAATGGTAGATGTTTGGAGTGCTTTGGAGCACAAAGCTTATAGCTCCACTCATGAGCTTAGACCATTACACAAGAGAAACATGTAGTTTCTCACAAAAGCCTATTTTATTTCAATTTGAAGCTAAAATTACCTGTTTCTGATTGAAGGTTCAACATTGGGGTGTTAATTATCACATTCCACTGGGGAGTGTACCACCAGCCAGTCCCAACAGTGGGGGAGAAATTTACAAGAGCCACTTCCAACAACTGAATCTGCACAAGCAAGCACAGATCAAATGTAGGTAGAATGTTTTCAAACCAAGCCTCAGCAAAAAAGGGTATTTTTACTCACAAGGTGGGCTAGAGTTCAGAAACCTGAAGTTTTCAGAATTAAAGCAAATCCACATTTTGCTTAATTCTCCTCTCACTTGCTGGGTAAAAACCTGTATTGGAAAAAGTTAACTGGCTCTCATTTTCATAGTTTTCAGTTTTTTGCTTTAACAAACAGTATTACTATACCTGGAGGCAGGGTCTCCACACTTTGTGCTTTGTCTTCCCCATTGTTACTGCGAGGGTCTTTCTTTTTTAGTGAATCAATGTCATTTGGGTCCTCCTAAGGGGGAAATAAAACAACTTAAAACCATTTTTTAAAATTGGCATAATTGAAGGACAATAATTTTTAAAAGGAAGAGTCTGGTCGTTTTTACTCTTTGGCACCAACATGATCTTTAGACCCTTTTAAGAGCATTAAAAGCTCAACAGTCTTATTTTAGGAACAAGAGAAAGTATGGCAAATTTCCCAGTTTTTCCCCAAAATAGGAAAATAAAACAGGGTTCTAGAAACTTGAGCGAACTTTTAACGTGTCAACTACTTACTTGAAGAAACTTCTTGCTCTCAAATAAAAAATGTATTCAGAAATGTGAATCTAAATGTAATTTGTGAAACTGAAGTTTGTTTCCACAAAGAATTGTGATGGCAATGTGTGACAAAAACAAAAGCATGTGCAGCTGTTTTCACATCCTAACACTTCTATTTAAATATTAATAATAGATAATACATAGCCATTTATGTTTATTAATAATGTCTGATACAGAAACTTTTGAAAGATACATAGGAAGTGCCATGTACAAGCACCCATTTTGGCAGAACTCCTGTTGGTAGCAGATTTTTAAAAAAATTACATTGTATTTCTGACTAATAATTTTGGGGAAAAAACTAATATTTAATGAAAAAGCAACTGTCATCTTTTCGAATTCCAGTGGATACTGATAAATACCAGATGAAAGTTCACTAGTAGGCTCATTTCTCTTCCTGATTAATCCCACAGAAAAATCGTTATCATGTGTTCATGTTACCATACAAACAACTGATGTATCCTAATGTTGAATTGACATCATAGAATCCAACTGGGAGAGAAGGTGCGATAACAGGAAGCATTTATATGAAAAGACTATATTTGATAATTAGGTGCACTACCAGAGTGAGGTTTTATTATGACGTGTGTATGGGAAAGCGTTTATTCTACACATCTGTACCCTATTTATTCATTCAGCTGCTCCTATTAGCTCTGCAGAGTCAACACAACTTAGGAAAATTCTGTTCCTTTTCTTGCATTACAGTTGTTTGCTAAGTCTCAATTACGGAGTCAGTTATCTTTCCGAAAACCCATGAAGGGCAGAATTTGCCCTGCAGAACTTTTAATATTGATGGTGGCATGTGACAAGGAAAGAACCAACCTTGATCCTCACAGTCAAACTAAGCAAGAAAGGGCAGTTTAGATATACTGTATTAACAAGTGTATTTGCCTCCCAACATCATTCAGATCAAATATTGGCTTTAGCTTATATTAACTATATAACAGTAAAAATCAGCAAGGTAATTCAAGGACAGGAGTGGTTGCTGAAACTATTTTACACTCTTAATATAGGTTGAACTGCTTTAGCCCAGCACTCTCAGCATCTGACCAGTGCCGAACTAGAGAATTTGCTAAACCACAGGAGGTCAATATTGTCTAGCACCGTGGTGTCCAACACGCTAGCTACTAGCCAGCTGTGGCTATTTGGCCAGTTGAGTGTGGCTAGTTCATTATAGTACAGGGGTGGGCAATAAATTTAGACAGGAGGCCACTTCACTAATTTTTGAAGTGGCCACGGACAGCCCTGGAAGGGGCAAGGCATCGGGCAGAAGTGGGGAGGGCAGGACACTTCTGTGCTCCTGCTCGCACAGACCCTGATTGGCTTGGGGGTGAGGGAGCATGTGAAGTCTTTACTCCCACCCTTCTCCTGCCTAGAGAGAACAGCCATCTCTAGAATCCTGAGGCCTTGCTTCAGGCCCTGCAGCCTGGGAGTGAGGCCAGACCTGAGCACCCTAGCACTGCTCTGTCCTAGGAAGCTCCCAACTTCCCTGGCAGCCAGGTCCTTCTTCCTCCCTAGCAAGAGCAAAACTCTCTTCCATCCTCCTGGAGTCCTTATTTATGTAGTCCCAACTGGGCCTTAATTGGCTACTATCTGCCACAGCTGTGGGCTTTGCTCTCCGCCTTCTCCCAGGGCTGATGCCCCATCATGGCCTCTTCTCACCCAATGTATCTTTTTTCATTCAGTACCAAAAGGTCAACTCCAGTCACTGATCGGATCATAATGCCAGACTCCATAGCGAGCTGTCCCAACCTCAGGCCAATCAGTGCTTGGGGGCAGGAGAAGTGCACAAAGTCTCTTCCTACCTGCCCCCACCCTGAAAGGGACATACTGCACTTGCAGGGCAGGGTCAGGGAGCAAAAGACTTCACACGTTCCTCCTGTCTCAAAGCCTTGATTGGCCTGGGGACCAGGGAGTGTCAGGGCATCCACAGGCCAGATCCACCCTCACTGGGGGGCCTGATCCATCCCACGGAGGCCTCTTTGCCCACTACTGCTTCAGAAGTGGTTGAAAACTACGGGTCTAGCAGTATTACCAACACTTCCACTGCTTGCTGGTCTCTTTGAAGACATTTAGGGGTAAATGAGAGCTAAATAAAAGCATAGAACACTGAGCGCCAGGACTGGTAGACGTAAACAAACTTTATGGGACTGCAAGCAAGTTGGCCAGACACATAAGTGGACATCTGTCTGTCTAAAATCATGCCAGACCACAGTTGTTGCCGGACCAGAGAGCGTGGAACTAGAGAAGTACAACCTGTACTGTCTGTCCATATAAATGAGAAATATCCTAGACTTTCATGAAAATTCAGAGTATATATCTGTCAAAGCATTTCGAAAGCTCCAACCCACTGTAGTTTATTGATACCAAATTCAAAATGAAGTATTTCATGTGCAACATTTACATGCATTGCTGTTTAAGTATATTTATTTTATAGGGCTTTCACGCACACACACACACCCTCCCCTCTCCTCCCCCCCCC